GCTCGTCGGTAATTTACACGGCTGTATTGAAATCTAACCCTTTATTCTGAAACAAAGCACTCGCTGCCCCGGCGAGGGAGGTGAGGAGCCGGAGGGAATAGGCCGTCCCCTAGAGCACAGCAGCGGAAATCTGGAGACCTAGCAAAACTTAATTTTCGGAGAAAACGCTACGGATGGGCTTTTCGTGTGGGAGGGGGGGGGGAATATAAGGGAGAAGCCGAGCCTCTGTAGACTGATAAATAAATTTGCTTCTCTTCCCTCTCGGGCTATCCTGGACTGGTTGTGGAGACTTGTTAAAAACAAACTAAAAACTAGCTTTGTCTCGGGGCTGATAAAAACAGGTACGTGGGAAAGAAAAAAGTAATTACTCTGGTCTCTTTAAAACACCAAAGTAGCAACTGAGGAGGAGACCTTAGAAATTGTTTCCAAGGATGAAAGTTTGCAAATTTCGTGTGTGGGTTAGTGGGTCCATCCAGGCTTCTCCACCAAGGCGCGTGGGCAAAAAGTTCGCCTCTCAGGTCTTTTTGGACCAGTCCTGGTCGAGCCCACGAAATCTGAACCGCTTCTGAAAATCTTGACATTTTATCCCTTTGCTGCCCACACTTAAAGCGGGCGGGACCAACCGACACTTCTCAGAGCAGATCAAGGACAGGCTGTTCCGGACTTGCCCACTGAAACGCTGGGCGGCACTGCAGAAAGGTGGAGAGGGTAGGGTGGGGGAGAGAGCAAGGCAGTTACTGCTCGCTGTTGGGGAGTGCGAAAGCTCCTCAGCTCGAGCCCGCCGGGTGAATGAGGCGCAAGGCCCCGTAACGCTGAGCCTGGATAAAATATGCCAGGACTGCGCTTCTCCAGCTCATCAAGGCTGCGGGAGCCTCCCCAAGCCATCATCCTTTGTAATTGCAACCGTCAATCAACACTTTAAGACAAAGTCAGAGCCGGGAAGGGCGAGCCCTGGAGACAAGTCTCGCCGGCCGGAAGGAGAAAGCATAGGGAAAGTGGGGAAAGGGAAGAGAAGTTTGCCAGAAGTTGGCAGAGGCGATGGAGGGGGAATATTTAGAATGTGCATGTATGGTTGCTGAAGCTGTGGCGATCTCTTCTCCAGTCCCTCCGGTTCCGGTCTCGGGTCCAGGCCACCAGTTACATTTCCCTTAGCAGTAAGTCTGGGGATGGATTCTTAAGTGTGCTTCCAGCAAAAGGCAGAGTGGCAGTTGGTAAGATGGTAAGATCCCGCAGAGGATGGGACGCATCTGCCCGAAGGCGGAAGCTCCTTCCGCTCCAGGCAGTCGTGTCAGTCCAGACCACCACGACCATCAGTATTCAGACCTCAGAGGTCCTGTTTCATCTACTTGCATCCCAACTGCCACCCCTTCTCCCGTCCACTTGGCTGTCCTGCCTCACGCTGCGGTCCTCGCAATCCAGAACTATCACGAGACAACAGACTAGAGGTGCCGGGCACTAGGACACCCCTCCTCCAGCTTGGCTGCCGAGAAGGCGTTCCGGGGGACCCACAGCCACATCCCAGGTCACAGAGTCGGCTAGTCACCGGCTCCAGTGGGGAACGCTGCCTGGCGTGATTGAAGGGTCAAGGAACCAGAACGCGCCTTGGGAACAAGTGAGAAGTTCAGAGGGCGTGGAAAGGGTACACTTGGAGGACAGTAATGAGCCCGTTGTCTTAGGCCTGGTACCGCTTCCCCTCCCTCTGTGTCAAGTCCGGGGCTGGGGCCTCTCTGTGCACCTAAACTTGTGGAGCGACTTGGAGAAGAGTGAGCGTGCCTTCGGGTCTCTGATAAGAACCGACTCCAGGGGTAGATACGGCCTCATCCATCGTATATCTGTGCTTCGAGGCCCCTTGAGCGGACACGTAATAGGTATGGCTTTAGGGACCTGAAGGCCTGGAGCACCCAAGTTGGACATCCAGGAGAGGAGTTCCCTTGGCTCTCCGAAAAGGACACTTTCTCTCTCCTTGAGACCCTCTGCCCTTTTGGTGCCCTGTTGGCTCACTGCTAACTAAGCAAAGGGATCAGTTTAGCTTAAACCTTCAAAAGCAGAGCTAAAAGCCTTGGAGCCTCCATCTGTGATACCACTGAGGATTTAACAGACTCCTCCTCAGCTCCTGTCCCCTCCCACCTATTTCTTGAGGATGTTCCTTTCTAAGTCTACCTGTGGGGAGATAAATGAATGCCAGCTGGTTCTTTGCCACAATCAGCGATTTTGGGTAGAGGGTTTGGTGGGGAGGGCAGATTGGCCTGGACTGTGGGGTGCGAGTATGGCCCATGCACCTCCTTCTGGCACTGAAACCACCTTTCTGAGCCTGACCAGAAAGTTTGCCTCAAGCCATTGCAGGTTTTTTTTTTTTTTTTTTCTGGGGGGTGGGGTGGGGTTGGTATTACAAGATCCTGTTAGGGCCCCCTTCTACTTTTTTTCAATTCCCCTAACCTTTGTCTCCTACTCCAACTGAAGACCTTCCTTCCCAGCTTGAGTCTGGGAAATTGCCTCTAAAGACCTAGAGTTCCCCACTGCTGCCAGCCTGGTGTTTGGGAAGGTGCTGCACATGCTCTCTGAAACAGTCATATTTAAGTTAAAGCTTTGTAATAAACCAGCTTTCAAAGTTCACTTTAGTTCACAAGCAAAGCATAGTAAGAATTGGTTTGAGCCCTGAGACTGTCGCCCTATCAGAACCACGTAAAGAACATGTATATTCTTAATTACTAATTTAAAACTAGTAATACTGAAAAATGTATTGATAGTAATACTCGGTGTCTTCATGAAAATCTGAATTATCTTAAGGGTCACTAATTCTGGCAACTGCCCTCTTCTTACACAGACTAAAGGACAGATCCACTTCAGTTTGAATGTATCATGAAATCCTAAACTACTACTTAAAGTTTAAATAAGTTAGATTCTCAATCTACTTCATTCGAAGAGCAAAATGACAAATCAGAGAAGGTGGCTGAATTGCCAGGTAGTGGTGGATGATGAACAGCCTATTTAATATGAAATTATAGATGATACATGGCAATGATTGGGATACTTTTCAATTCATCAATATTGGACAGGGCACTTTGAATGTGTAATTTCTATGCTATTCAAATAGAATAAATTCTGATCTTTGGAAATTCAAATCCACCCCCTTGTGGATGGACTCTGACAATTACCCGATTGCACAGCCAAACCTGAATAGAGGCATTTCGCATGCAGTCAAGAGGCTAGAAAGAATGTTTTCATCTTGTTGAGATGAGATCTGAAAACTCTGAGGATGTGACTGGGCTGGTTTGGGAAGAGCTTGCATAACAGATGGTTCTTTAAAACTTTTTTTTTTTTTTTTTAATTTTTCCAATGCTGGGCCTCCGGGCCTGCTGTGGATCCATCCCACCAGATAGACACCAGAATGAAAAAGAAAAACCCAGGCTATATTTGTATTCCACAGAAACACAGTTCACTAAACCTAGGAAGTTGTCACCAAGATTATCTTGGGCTCAAGGGAGCTCTGGTAGCATAGTGGCTAAGACACTTGCCTGCTAACCAGACGGCTGGCGGTTCAAACCCACCAGCCACTCCTCGGAAGGAAGGTTGGGCAATCCTACTTCCGTAGTGATACTGCCTCGGAAACCCAAGGAGGGGTCGCTATGAGTCGGGTCCGACTCGACGGCACATAACAACAACAACAACAAGTTTCGAAGTGAGAGAAAACAGAGAGAGTGGGAAAACAGGTAGCTGCTTTGAGCAAATGAATGAACTTTTGACTCTGGTCCTCAAGATTTGGTGGTCCCCTTGGGGCGGCCTCGGCGCTCAGGTCCGCCAGGGGTGGCCAGGTCTCAATGCGAGGCCTCTAGGAGAACTGAATGCAGAGAGGCAATGAAGCCTGGGGACCCTTGACAGAGCATCAGCTCTGCCTTAGAGAAGAGTGTCCATGGATGTCCATGAAAACATCCTTTTTCTCCTTTCAGTAGTTTAAATAGGTGTTTATTTCCCCCTCCAGCCCCTAACTCAACACACACCCCATCCTTCTTTTGCCCTCAGCTCTCGGAAATCACCGCCCTGGCTAAGCTTTAGCCGCCGCGATCAGACAGAGGTCGCTTCTCACTAGCCATGAGACCCAGCGGCATTTACACCCCCAGCCCCAGGCCAGGGTGGGGTGGGAAGGGGTTAAGGCGGGGTGAAGAGGTTGGGGCAGGAGTGGGGATCCAGGCGAGCGCCTCATCCTCATTGGCTGGAGGCTGGAGTCCCACCCGAGTCCGGAACCCACGTCCGGATTCACTGTCTTAACCCCTCATCCCAACCACCCCATCCCCCACCTCAGCCTCCCCCTACCCCCGGCCCTACTTACCTCCCTTCTCCTCCTCGTCTTCCCCCTTTCCTTCCCAGCACCGTCACCCTCCGGGCTGGAAAGGGCTGCTCTCGGACGCGCGAGAGTAGTAAAAGAGGCAGGAGAGGGAGGTTGGAACTTCACAACTCCACACTAGCAGTGAACCAGAGGGAGGCAGAGAGACAAGGGGAAGGGGCGGAGAGGCAAGGAGAGAGGAGGGGAGAGAGAAGTGAGGAGAGAGGAAGAGAGAGAGAGAGACCCCTGTCGATCCTGAGCCAGAGGGCGGGAGGAGGGAGGGGAAGGAGTCGCCCAAGCCGTCCGGGAGCTGCGGCTGCGGCACCGGCCGCGGCGGTAGCAGCAGCCCCGCGGCCGCCTCAGCTGCCCGCCTGGAGCTCCCCGGTGCACCGGTCCGCGCCCAGGGTAACTGTGCCCTCGCCACCACCGCGGCCTCCGCCCTTGCGGAGCAGAGCCAGGGCTCCTCGACTCAGTCTTCTCCGCCTGGTCTCGGAGCCCGGATCTCCTCCTCGCTGCTCGGGGACTGCTCCGGAGCTGCGAGACAGGACGGGCCAGGGATCCTGACTAGCAGCCCGGGAGGAGGCGGAGGCGCGCGCCGGCGAGTGGGTGGGTGAGCGGGCACCCCGGTTGCCCCCTTCCTTCTTTTCGCCGGAGTTGAATCTCTGCTGCCCGTGTCCAGGTGCTGGGCTTCCAGACAGACACGGACCCCCCGTCCCCAACCGCTGCCGCCTTGTCATGCTGCCCAAAGTGGAGACGGAAGCCCTGGGACTGGCTCGATCGCATGGGGAACAGGGGCAGATGCCGGAAAACATGCAAGGTAAGGAGGCTTAGCGCTGCGCACAGGCTCCGGCGGCTTCCGCTCCCCCGGGCTCGCCCTGCGGGCTTCACTCTCTTTCCTGGCACTCGCACTAGGGTGGTTGTGCTAGGCTCTCGGAGCCAGCCGGCTGCGGGGCTGCGCGCAGGCGTCCGGACCCCTCCCCAGATGCAGGCATAAAAGTTTATGGCTCTTGAACAATGCGGGGCGGAGGTTTTCAAGCAATGCCTAATTGGCAGCTTCTAATTAAGCAGAGAGAGGCTTCGAACTCTATGGCAACCGGAGCCAGGCAGCTTCAGGCTAAAGGTACTTTGAAATGATAAGAGCATTCTAAGAAATGGAATGTCTCACTGGAAACCTGAGCGGATTCTCAGTCCTTGGAATCGGTGGGAACTTTAATCAATGCTTTTGTGTGGAGCTAGAGCACCCTACCTAGGACAGTCAACTCCAGAAAGAGAAGGCGTCTCCCGAAAGGCTTATTTTAGCGGTATTAGAATGGATGTGGCCACTCCCTAAAGCCCAAGCGGACACTGACTCGAATTTGGGCAACTGAAAGGAATCAAAGTCCCTTTTCCCCTACGTGGATACTGCTCATTGCCCTGGAGGTGGGGCACAGCGGTTAGTTTAATGCCCCTTCATCAATGTAAGAGCTGAGAATGTGGAAATCCCATTTGTTTTGCAGCTCTTGATTGCTAACAAGAAAACAAATCCTGCTGGCTATGTTTTCACCGCATTCCAAAATAGGAACTCTTGTCTGGCGTGTATTAATCCCTTCAGAAGTTTATCGCAGTTGCCCTGGGCCGGGGAGGGAACAATGCTAGGAAAAGTCACCGGTGCTCTTCCATCCTCGCCCCTTCCAGTGCGCAGGATGTGCGGACAGGCGGGCCTGTGATCCTAGAACGCTTCCTGCCATCCCCTTGAGCGAACTTGAAAGGGCCGGGGAGGTGTTGAGAGCAGAGTTCAGGGCTGGTGCACGCGGCCATGAGGGGTAGGCGGCGCGTTCGGGGCGCTCTGGCCTGGGAGCTTGACGCGGCTCCAAGGTAGAAGCTAAGGGGGGTGGTGGGAGGGTGCGTCGTGCTTGTGGCATCAGTTATCCGCTCAGTGTTCCCGGGGTCTCTCTAAGTTTCGGGAGAGAGCTGTGGAAGTCTCCTGGGGCTGAGTCCCCTAAGACTAACTTGTAAACTAACTTGTGTGTCTCCCGGCCGGCTGCAAGGGGAAGCTGGTTGGTCCAAAGAGAGGTTTCCGCCCGAAACTGAATTCCGCGAAATGGGAGCGCCGGGGAAGTGGCTCGAGGGAGCCGTGCTCTCTTCAGAGGGCCTAATCTTTGCAATGCCAGATGCAGTCGGGGCGATTCCTGGGTCGGAAAGGAAAGTTTCTGCTTCTCGTTCCAGCGCAGACTCGGGAAAAGAAGCTCAGGGAGATAATGGAGCAAGAAGCACGGGAGGCAGAAATAAGAGTTTAATTGGGGGGGGGGTAGGAAAATAAAATCGTAATGTTTTCTTTGTGAAGTTCGCGAGGGGAGTACGTGACTGGACCTACCGCTCAGAGCAGAGTGTTAGCTCTCCCCCGTGCCGAGGACTGAGCGGCTACCCGCCGCTCTCTCAGCCTGGGGTTCGAAAGCAGCGCCACCAGCGCCTGACACGCCTTCCTCCTAGCCTTTCCTCCTGGTAGAGAGGAACGCTGGGACAGAGACCCCGTTCCTAGCCCTCATGGCCTTATCGCTGCCTGCAGACGCGTCTGTCTACTCGTGGGGACATCCCAGAAAGAGCACTGGGTCCCGGAACAGCGCACCGAGTCCAATTCAGGGGGAACTTCGCGCGCCGCTCTACGGATTTTGATTTCCATTGGTCTGCTGTCCTCTTTTCTACCTGTAGATGAAGACTAGTAGTGCGCGGGTACTTCTTCGCCTGGATGGACTCAGTTCTCCAAACGCTCCCAAACGCCTAGCTCGGCTATACCAGGGCACCTGGGAAACTCTGAAAGATATCCTGGCCTAGCACAGTGGCCTCTGTTTCCTCACTGCTCTTCAGTCTTTGGATTTTCCAAGAAGGGCCCTAGCCCTAGCCTTAGCCCCGGGCTTTCCGAAGTGAGATCTCCGAGGTGTGCATTGAGTACCCCCTCCCCCCGTTAGCGGTTGCCTCTCTGGTCCTCTGAAGGGCAAAGTTAGACTTTACTTTGTTGGGGGAAACGAGAAGTCGAAAAGAACACCCTTGGAAAAGCCCACTTTTTTCCTACCCCTAAAACATGACTCTAGACATTAGTCACAACTTTTAGGAGAAATGGCGCTATAAGCAAACTTCTTGTACTCTTAGTCTTCCCTAAGGCCCCAGGTTCCCAAACCAGAGCGCGGGCCTCTTAGGGCTGGAATCCAGGCTGGCACTGCCAGAAGGATTGCGCTCAACATCCCTTTATTTCCTATTTCGCCCAGCGAAAGAGGCTGCGTCGGCCGGAACCTCCTTCCCCGGGATTCCCCCAAACTTTAAGTCACTCGGGTTTAATCTCAGTGTCTCAGGAAGGGACGTTTCAACTCGGCTGGTTTGCATTCTGCCCTCAGCAGTCAAGTCCTGCAAGTGAGCCCCCGACGGCCCTTTCCGGAATCCCTAAGAATCAGTAAAGAAAAACCTATTTTGAAAAAGAACTAGTCAATGGCTAGGAGGCCACTATGGTGATAAAGTGACCGGGTACGTTAGTGGTGGGGTGGGGGATCTTTCTCTCTTTCCTTTTTTAGTAAACAAATCAGAGGAAACTTCTGCCTGGCCCTCGGTTCCCCATCCCCCGCGCCCCGCCCCCTGCAAATGCCACTGATTAACTTAAAACAAACTCGGCTCGGTGTCTGCGCTCGGTTTTGCAGTCTAAGGTTGAGCAAGGGGCGAGAACCGGGTGCTCCGAGGGGATTTGCGAGAGGGTGCCCGGGAGGGGTGCGGGCTCAGGGGAGCTGAGCGGACCGGTCCCTCGCCTTCTGCATCCGCTGCGCCCACTCACCCGCGCCCCGCGCTCGGAGACTTGGACACGGAGTCTCAGGGAGGGGCCGGAGCAGGTAATTCCTGGGGACTCCTGACCTGACCTTCCTGTGCGTAGTTATCCATCTTTTAGTTGAGAAGACGCCTTCTCCTGGCAGCATCCCGAAGCAGTCGGTTACCCGATCCCTGCTGTGAGCCGTGTGTTGTCGCGACCTGATTTCTGTTTAACTTTAACAAGGCGATCTCGAGGTGTTTATATTTTCCAGTGATGATCGGAAACATGTGAAGTTCATTACAGGACTTCAATACTTTGCGACGAAACCAAACTCTCGTGTGTATCTTTTCCTCCTCTGTTTTATTTCGCCCGGGCGTCCTCCCTTTTTCCTTCTTTTTATTTTCACAGATTTTCATATGTGAGGAGATGAAGGTATCCAGAACAGGAGTCCTGTCAATACGGAACTGAGTGTTTCAGTTAATCTAACAAATCTGAACGTTGGGAGCTGCAGGCTGTTCTTAAAGTGGGGCTGCTGCTGAAAAGCAGGTTTCTGGGGCTTCAGTTTCTTTACCGAACAATGTTTGCCATCCGTGTTGCTATCTTTATAAACGAGGTGTACTTGCAATAAACTTACTTCAAGTTTAAGGGGAGGGGTTGTAATGTGTGTTCTTGTCGTCCCCCCCCAACTTAGGCAAAAGTGACATTTTGGAACTTTACAGCGGTTGGAGAGAAAATTTAAATTGTTACTTTATGCAATTCATGTTTCTATTTTGATTTGTTGCTTTGCAGAGTTATGAAACTTGTGTTCAACTGTGGTCAGTTTAAAATTTTAACAAAAGAAGTTGGAATTATTTTTAAATTAAAAAAATATATATATATATGAAGTGCATGCTCACTGATGCCAAAAGATGTTTTACTTTCACTGTGTAAAAATAGTTCTCTTCAGTACCACCCGGGTAAAAATTATTTTTATTTTATATTTTACCTGGTGATATTTGCCCACCAATCACCAAAATGCTTTTCATTGCAGGATTAAAACCTATGTAGTAAATTAATTGGATGTGTGTATACATTTCTCTTCTTGTTTCAGTGTCTCAGTTTAAAATGGTGAATTACTCCTATGATGAAGATCTTGAAGAACTCTGTCCAGTGTGTGGAGATAAAGTGTCTGGGTACCATTATGGGCTTCTCACCTGTGAAAGCTGCAAGGTTTGCTCACATGTTCCTACCTGAAAAATATAATGTCCAAAGCCAAAATAAACCATGGATTGCTTTTTTCCCCCCTTCTTCAATGTGAATTTAGGCTGTCATTTTTAGACTCAATTAAAAAATGAGGTGAGAGATGATTCTTAGAAATATGTGTCTGATTTAGTTCAAAAGGCAAAGAAATTTATGCTGTTTAGAAAACTTTGCCAGTCTCATGGGTTTAAAGTATTTTACTGTAGTAAAGTGATGTAGCTGTAGAAAGCCTTCCATTCCTAACAGTCCTAAATATTGATTTTGCTTGACTTATATATATTTAAAGCACCGTTGTTCTTGAGAGGGAACATGACAAAGTATTTCCCAAATACATTTTAACTTCCCATTATTCTGTGCAGCAAATCTAAACATTTTTTTTATCTACAGACATAAAAGTCTAAATTCCAACTGCATGATTTCATCCTGATTTATTCCAAAAATACTTTTTAAAGATTTCTTGAAATTTAGATCACAAGAAACAAGAAATCAGATCTGTGTTCATAAATGTATTATGTGATCTATTTAAATGGAAGTGTTTTGTATGTAAAATGTATTATATTATCACAAATCATATTAATTATACTTTATAAATTTATCTCAGGCCTTTATATTCCCAATATATTAAATACTGGCTGTTTTAAAATATTTTATAAGTAGAACACTCAGTTCAGTTACTTAAGTCATTGCCAGGGAAAACCCTTCATTCTGCATAACAAAATAAAATGGTTTATCTTTATGGCTGGTAGGATAGACAAAAAAAAAAAAAAAAGCACTATCCTGGTAAAGCTATTATATTATAAAGCTACAAATTTCACATTTGATTAATTATATTGAATGAAATATAAGGAAAGTATACTTTATGTGCTGAAATTCAGCTCTCTGCAATACATGGTTTCTTTTTCAATTAGTTTCACCTTTTTTTTTTTATTTTTACAGACTTTTCATATTTGAATGTATTCCAATAGGAATTCTGAGCATTTCCCCGTTTTACTCTTTAAATCCTTTTGCTTTTAACTATCCAGTGTTGAACATTTGTAAAAGATCTGAAGTGTTTTGCTATTTGTTTTTCCACTGGCATTTTGCAATGATTTGTAACTGAAATTGTATCAGACTCCTTGAAAACAATGCAAATCTCCCTGGGTATCTCTAACTGGTATGTGAAGGTTAATCAGAAAATGGATTTAAAAAAAAAAAAAAAAAAAAAAGTCCCTGGTCAATATAGAGGGTATTTTTCTTGGGCTCTTGGGATGAAATGGGGTGTAGCCATATCGCCCCAAGATTTGATGTCATTCTTCAGGAATATAACTCTGATGCCAGAAAAATCTCCACTATGGCCTGGCACTGTTTTGGAGGGTTGATCTTGCTGAATGTAAAATATACCACAGGACCACACAGGGGCTCAGATGGTGCCATGAAAGGATTTGCTGGTGATTTCCTTAAAATGAAACAATGGAAGAGCTTGGTCTTAAATTTGTATTACATCTCACTATTTTCTCTGTCTTATAGGGTTTTTTTAAGCGAACAGTCCAAAATAATAAAAGATACACATGTATAGAAAACCAGAACTGCCAAATTGACAAAACACAGAGAAAGCGTTGCCCTTATTGTCGATTTCAAAAATGTCTAAGTGTTGGAATGAAACTAGAAGGTAAGATTCTTCTAAAGACTACCACCTATTAAAGCTCCCCAAGGACATGGGCTTTAGAAAACATTATGCTTCTAATAGGATAACATTATTTTCCCAGTTTTAAAACACTATTGACAATAATGTAAGATACATTGTCTTTTTATTTTGTCTACAGAATTAATCTCATTTAAACTCTGGTAAAATCTACCAGGTGAAAAATTTTAAATATCTAAGTTGTGCTCCCTCACTTTTGTTTAGTTTAGCAGATGCATTTGACACTAAAAAGGTCAGATCAGCTGAAAGCAAGGCTACAGTAAATCAATTGAGAACAAATAAAATTGGTGTGCAAAAACACAGAAGTTAAAATAAACTTTACATTTTCAAATCAAGGTAGTCTAGTAAAGTTTGAATTCAATCTTTTTTTTTTTTTAAATAGATGTAATACTTGTGAAAATTGTTAATATCAATTTCATGATTCTTGAGCAAGGGTTAAAGCCTTTAATTGTGAAAAGGAGTTTTTCATGTAGAATATCAGTTTTGATAGTGTAGGGAAGCACATCCCACCCTCCTCTTTCAAAGATAATGACTGAATCTGCAAAATAAATTTGTGAAGCAGGAAACATGAAAAATAATGAACTATTAAATCAAGCTGGTAGAAATGGTCTGACAAGAACAAGTGAGTGGTTCCTCAAAAGCTATGCTAAACTTTATGTTGAAAGAGCAGAATCTGTCTTTACCATGTATAGATTGGCAGGCAGTAAAGTTAATGTGTGACTGCTGTAAATAATTTGTAGTTCCTGGACTATTATGGTGTGTTGCTGTTTTCCAGCCTCTGACCTACTGACTTTCCACAGATTAAATATACTGCAAGTAAAGGAATAACAAAGGATACACACCACTTATGGTGCCAGATCTAAGAGTGCATTTAATTTGATCAGTGAGGCACAGGCTATTTTTGTTTCTTTTTGTTATATGGAACTCAGAGTTGATAGAAATAGTCAAACAAATTCAAATGAATCTACAGATTCTTCCAAATAGATACTAGCCACTTTGTTTACCATGAGGACTGTTAAGTCAGTATTGCTTTTAAGAAGAGATCAAGAAAGGAAGTAATTGATGCTTATTAATTTCCTTATTATCAATCACTTTATTATTTTCCACATGGTGAACTACTGTGGTGGATGGATGTGACCTATTGTGTGAGATTAAAATGATGGAAGTGTGGTTAAAACCTAAAGGCTTTGATTTTGTTTGGTAGACACACACACACACACACACACACATAAACATATACACACATATATATATTTTACAAAGGGAAAAAGATTGCCTTTCTTTACCTTCAAAAATTTGTTTTCATAATTGTAAGTCACTTATGGTGCATACTCATACTTCTTTAATGGTGATATGAAAAACAATTGAATATTCAATAAATTACCATCCAGATGAAAAAACTCTTTATGGTCTTGTACAATATTCTGGATACCTAGCATTCACAATAAATTTTTAATGCTGTACTAATCCTAAGATAAAAAGCTCCAAAACTTAACCTCCAGCAATTTCAACATGTCACAAGCTGTCAGAAGTCACTGTGTCTGTCTAATTGCCATTGGCCACTAAGGGTTTGGAGAGAACTATGAACTAACTTAGAGGCATGGCCTCTGACTCCACACACCAGTGTAGCAGAAGACTCTCTTGACAGCTTCTGAAATGAATTTGCTTTAATTATGTCCAGTTCTGCTTAAATTAAAAGCAATAACTGGTGGTTACGCCTTGCACACTCGTCAAGTCCAGGTGAAAATGATTTTTCAGGAAGAGCATGTACCTTACCCTTTTGCAACAAAGTAGCCAAAATGGCTTTGAGGGAGGAAGATGTCCTAAGGGAAAAGAGCCACAGTTTAATCCAGGAATGCATTATTAGATATATTTTCTCCTCAGCCGTTTGGGTTTCCATAAAGAAAATCACAAGATAACTGATAATAGAAATCCTCTTTCTTAGTCGCAAAACTGGTACTCTTTTTTAGCTATACAAAGAATCTAATCTGTGTAGCAAAAATTATGAAATCTCTTTAACCAAAGGGTTAATATGTTCCTACTTATCCAAAATATTTTTTTTGATGACAAAATACGCTTGCAGGAAAAAATTCATAAATAAAAAGGACATGACTTTTTTTTTTTTTTTTTTAAATCTTTGTGGGCTATTGTAATTAAAACAACCACACACATACCACTTCTTGTCAGTTTTCAACATTTTTGAAGAGTGTTTTGATCTGGAGAATGCTAATAATTTGGATCCTATTTATACCCTTATTTCCTTTTTACTCCTAACAGCGGTAAGAGCTGACCGAATGCGCGGAGGAAGGAATAAGTTTGGGCCGATGTATAAGAGAGACAGGGCCCTGAAGCAACAGAAAAAAGCCCTCATCCGAGCCAATGGACTTAAGCTAGAAGCCATGTCTCAGGTGATCCAAGCAATGCCCTCTGATCTGACCATCTCCTCTGCAATTCAGAACATCCACTCTGCCTCCAAAGGCCTACCTCTGAACCATGCTGCCTTGCCTCCTACAGACTATGACAGAAGTCCCTTTGTAACATCCCCGATTAGCATGACAATGCCACCTCATGGCAGCCTGCAAGGTTACCAAACATATGGCCACTTTCCTAGCCGGGCCATCAAATCTGAATACCCAGACCCCTATACCAGCTCGCCCGAGTCCATAATGGGCTATTCCTACATGGATAGTTATCAGACAAGCTCCCCAGCAAGCATCCCACATCTGATACTGGAACTTTTGAAGTGTGAGCCAGATGAGCCTCAAGTCCAGGCCAAAATCATGGCCTATCTACAGCAAGAGCAAGCTAACCGAAGCAAGCATGAAAAGCTGAGCACATTTGGGCTTATGTGCAAAATGGCCGATCAAACCCTCTTCTCCATTGTTGAGTGGGCCAGGAGTAGTATTTTCTTCAGAGAACTTAAGGTATGTCAACAGCTATTACAACTTACAATATCCCTTTCATGAAAGACCTATGTTCCTAATTAACATGTCTGGTGCTGGAAATACATTTTCTTTACTTTTGTTCTGTGTATAGTTTACATAGTAGAAGTATTTTATGCTCTTAACTTTATGTACCTTTTAATTTTCAGGTGTGACATTTAAACTTATAATATAGAAACTTTTGGTTTTCTCCTGAACAATAGAATTAGTCTTTATTCTCTTTAATTCAAATGGCTTATGGTAAGAAACTTTGTTAGTGTGAAACAAGCACCTCCTAAACTATGTTTGAAAAGATAAATTAAAGAACTATATTATCATGATGTCATTTTGAAGGTTTCTTTCAAAGGAAAAAATGCCAACATTGAGTTGTGTTTAGACCCTAAAGAATGCAAATGATACCACTGATTAGTAGTATTAAATAGGTATTTACTACCTGTTTACCTTGACATTAGGTTGGTAAAGCCTTTGTTTTTGGAGCAGATTCCAATAGGATGTTTACTGTCATTGGATGGGGAATAGGCAAATGGTGAGTGCTAGTGTACTCAAATTGGATTTTAGTTCTTATAATCTATGTCTGTCATTGATTTGAATGAGTTGGTATATAGTAAACATGGTGCTTGTTTGTGTAAAGATCTCTGTTTAACTACATAATTAGTCTATTTCCTGAAATTTAACACTAAATTAATCTGGGAAAGTTATTTAGATATTTTTGGAATGTAAAAGTGGCCACCAAACCACTTTGGTAGTCAGTGGGTTCATTCTCCTTTTTTTAAAAAACAAAAGTGAATCCTGGATTTGATTTCTGTGAATATCTGTTACAAAATCAATTTCTTCCTTTTGCTGTCATTGGGAGAGTATGTGGCCACTAAATATCTGATCACCTAGGACTGTCAGAGGAGATTTTAAAACCTCCCAAGAGAGGAAAAATATAAAACATAGTTTTAATTTAAAGAGTTATTGCCAGAAATTGTCTTTGTAGACTGGATTTAAGAAAAAAAAAAAAAAAAGCCAAACTCATTGCCCTTGAGTCAGATCCAACTCACAGTGACCCCTCCTTGGGTTTCCGAGGCAGTATCTCTACGGAAGTAGATTGCCGAGTCTTCCTTCCGAGGAGTGGCTGGTGGGTTTGAACTGCCAGCCTTCTGATTAGCAGTCAAATGCTTTAGGCACTATACCACCAGAGATCCTGTAGATTGGATAGAGAATATGAAAGTTATGAACAAAAAAAAAAAAAAGAAAAATAGTGCTTTTCACAGCAGTCTGTATTGAGAACTATGATTTGTACATAGAAACCAAAAAGTTATCTGAACTGATCCAAATAAGCTAATAGAATACCAGTATGCTGTTCAGACCACTGACCGAGACAGCTCTTGGTTCTAATGTCCTTTATTGCTCCATTTAAACATGGCTGAAGCTGCAGTTAATAAGCTTCAGAGGGCGAGCAGAATGCATTGAGTTAACATGGTCAGGTCAAATATTTTATGTATGTAACCATTTTGTGGTAACTGGGGAAGAAATCAGACATTTAAAAATGAAAACTATAAATGTAGATTCAACTGAAAAGTTAAGTAAGGTAAAAGTGAGGAAAGCACAGTCATTGCAGTGAGGTAGACTGTTTTGAATTGTGTCTTCGTCAATTATATCTTCACAGGCAGGTTGTAAGTCTCTCTGATCCTTGGTTTTCTCATATATGAAACTATGTGTGTAGGTTTGTGGGGTGTGTATGTATATGGAGAGAATAACAAAACCTATACTGAAGCAAATTTACAAGAAATAAATAAGATCTGCCACATATTAGATGCTCAATAAATTGGTGCCTGTTAAAAATTATTGTTGTTGTTTTATGAAAAGTATGCAAAATCTTTGCAAAATACTACCTTTAACTCAGAAAAAAAGCATGCTAGTGTGCTCTCTTACTAGTTGACATTGGGAAATAACATTCACTGCATGAGTTATAGAGTAGTATAATTGTGTAATAGGAGCTCTGTTAGCATAGTGCCTAAGGCACTTGACTGCTAACCAGAAGGGTGGCTCAAACCCACCAGCCACTCCTCAGAAGGAAGGTTGGACAATCTACTTCTGTAGTGATAATGCCTCGGAAACACAAGGAGGTGTCGCTATGAGTTGGGTCCCACTTGAGGGCACATAACAACAACAAAAACAACATAATTGTATAATAATTAGCAATATTTAACTAATATTAATTGAGGACCTAAATTCTTCCAAGCAGTAAATTGAGTGTAAGATGAATATGAAGTTGAATGAGATAAAATATTTCCTCTAAAGTTTATGATAAGAACCTTTCATAAGATAGCCGAAGAAAATAAGGGTATGTTTCACAAATTCACATGGAAAGCAATCACCAAACCCAAATCCACTGCTATTGAGTGGATTCTGACCTACAGCAACCCTGAAGGGTAGAACTGCCCCATCAGGTTTCCAAAGCTGTAAATCTTTACAGAAGTGGACTGCCTCATCTTTCTCTCATGGAGTGGCTTGTGGGTTCAAACCGACAACTTTTTGGTTAGCAGCCAAATGTTTTAACCACCAGAGCTTCTAGGAAAGCAATAGTCTATATTACTTTTAAGAAAAAAAAGAAATACTATGAAGTGAGCATGGCGAGCCACAGGTAGGATTTCAAGACTGCTGAGAAGATACTCTCTCCTCACGTTTTCTCTGATTTCTTCCCTGTTGCTAAATTCTGCATGAGATTCTTTTATCTGGCACAAAGCTTAATATTTGGCTAAAATATAAATACCTTTGTGAACGGAACATATTAAAGGGCTTTTATCCTGTTTACTGTATTTTGCAGTCTTTCATGAGAATAAGCTTTGAAAAAGGGAAAAGAAAGAAAGTACAAACATGGGTGGGGGGGAGTCTTCAAGGGGTGGGAGGTCTCCCCAAGGGAAAAAGACAAATGACTCACTTGGCAATTTGCCTTGGGCTTACATTAAACAGGAATAACTCTGTGTAAGTGCTTTTCAGGGACCAAAAAACCAAACAATAACTTTGGGAGAGTTTAGATACAGAGTTGTGAAGTGACTATTCACATTCACATTTGGTAGCATTCTTTTTCTTTTCCTTTTAAATTTGTCTTGTCAGAAAACAAGCAAGTTGTTGGAAGCCAGCAATGAAGTGAGTCCATCACGGTGCATTTCTCCGAGACAGTGGCTTTCACATTTTTTGGCCATGACCTTCAGTCAAAACCAAACTCACTGCCATTGAGTCAATTACGAGTCATAACGACCCCCTTTGGGTTTCCAAGGCAGTAAATCTTTACAGAAGTAGATTGTCCAGTTTTCCTTTTGCTGAGTGGCTGGTGGGTTTGAACCTCCAACCTTCTGGTTAGCAGTCAAATGCCTTAGGCACTACACCACCAGAACTCCGTGACCTTCAGTAAGAAATGTATTTTACATTGGGACTTGGTGTACTGAACACATCTCTTTTTCTTTCTCTCTCTCTCTCTCTCTCTCTCTCTCACACATGCAAACACCCCTGAGACAAAGTTTCATTAGATAATATATGGTCTCTACATATCATGCACACTGATATTTTCTATTTTATTCTGCTTTATGTTCATTCTTAGTTGCTGTCAAGTCAATTATAACTCATGGCAACCCCATGTGTGCAGAGTAGAACCGCTCTGTAGGATCTTCAAGGCTGTGATCATTCGGAAACAGATCATCAGGCCTGTCTTCCGAGGTGCCTCTGGGTGGGTTCATACTGCCGATGTTTCATCTCTTAGTTAAATGCTTAACTGTTTGTGCCACCCAGGAAGTCTAATTTATTTCATGTTTTTAAAAAATTTTGGTCATGACCCACTAAATTGATTTCATGACCCTAATGAGGCATGACCTACAATTCAAGAAACACTGCTCTGGGGAGGGTTTTGTGGGCTTTCTTTCCATGGGGCATTGCCTGCCTGCCATGACTAAGAACCACTCCTAAAAATGGATTCTTCCTCCTAGTATTCCCACCACCTCCAGGCTATCCCTGAGACCTGTAGCCCTAGGCCGTATGCCGTCTTCCTGCAAAATTTCTGATTTTTAAGTATCATTTGGGAAGATGAATAGTTTCATTTTAAAATTTCGTCTTTTCTTTGTTAACTTCACATCAAATTACCCAGTAGGTGATACAGTATGCATAGGGCAGATGATTCATACCTCTACAACCCTAAGATGCAAAGCCACATACATAACTCTCCCAGGAGCTCTGGTAGCATAGTGCCTAAGGCACTTGACTGCTAACCAGAAGGCTGGCGGTTCAAACCCACCTCAGAAGGAAGGTTGGGCAATCTACTTCCGTAGTGATACCACCCTGGAAACCCAAGAAGGGGTTGTTATGAGTCGAGTCCGACTCGACGGCACATAACTACAACACCACCACCATATATACATGAGAGAATATACATGTCATTTGTTTATGATTTAAGGGACCAGAGGAAATTTTGGTAGGCTGTTTTGCTTTTCTACATACCTACACGGTGCAACATTTGACTGCTAACCAGAAGGCTGGCGGTTTAAACCCACCAGCCACTCCTCAGAATGAAGATGGTGCAATCTACTTCCGTAGTGATACTGTCTCGGAAACCCAAGGAGTGGTCGCTATGAGTCGGGTCCAACTTGATGGCACACAACAACAACAACAACATGGTGCAACAAATATGGTCTAGTTTCCATTTAAAGCAATGATAGAAGAAAGGAAATTGCAGCTCCTAGTATTTCAATTATTGCAACACACAAGCAGGAAAAAAAAAAAAAAAAAGACAGTAGTCTTAGAAACTGTGGCGTTTTAAGGGTAGAGGAAGAAAGGAGAAAAGGGAATTGAGGAAGTGTATAAGTGAGCTGCTTTGGTTTCCTACACACTTGTAAGGGACGTTGTGGTCTCTATCCAAAATATTAAGGCGCTCTGGTAATGCCTTGGTTAAGGCATTTGGCTACTAACCAAAAGGCTGATGGTTCAAACCTAGTAGCTGCTCCATG